TGTGTGTGTGTGTGTGTGTGTGTGTGCGCGCGGGGGGTGTCTGCCACGGATAACAGAGCAGGCAGGAGGGGGAGAGGACGAGGAGAAGAGTAGTGGACTTATTTCTAATTTTATCTGACTTATTTAACTTAATTTTTATTTTTTTTATCGGGCAGGCTCTGATGGGAAATTGATTTGAAGCTGAGGTTTTTTATTTTTATTTTTTTGATAAAAATCGTTAGATTACTCTAAAGCAAAATGAGGGAAAATCTGTGTCAATTACAGACAATCTGTTCACGTGAGCAGCTGTCAGTCAGCACCTGTCATCATCCAGGCGCACGACGGAGCGTGTCTGAACCAATCACTTTTGTAGGTATTGATCATCTGACTGATTTAAATACATCTTAACATTCATGAGGTACTTTGCATTGACTGTTTATGGTTGAGTGTGGGCGTGTAGAGGGTAGAGCTTGAGGCGGGACCTCGTGCGCAAACTCTGACGTGCGGCTGTGATTTATAAAGGAAAGGTGCGCAGAAACGTGCGCACGTACGGTTTTATAAATCTGAATTTTTTTTGGCGTACGCCATTTCCGCCTTTTGGCCGTACGTTTACTTTTAGTATGGTTTCCACGCAATCCTTTATAAATGAGACCCCTGGGGTTTGCTAACTACAGCCTCTTTCACAAGACAGGTCCACGAAATCACCGCGCAGACCAGTTTGGCTTTAAGCTCCCTCGGGTCATTCATACCTCACAGAGTAAGCCGGCCAGGTCCCGTTCACATGTACGCGTTCAGAAAAGAACCAAAAGAGGCGTGGAGCAGATCTCGGCTCAGCTGAAGTGGACCGTGACGTATTTATTGTGTGACGACGTCTGTCTCGTATCAAATTAAACTTACTTGAGCAATTCTGTGTCGTCCTTAATAGTCCGTGATAAATCTGTTGATTAATCCTCCCTGACGCATGAAATAAAAAACGGAATTAACTCATTTTAGTGATCCTGTGTTTCAATATTCTTTAAACCATTTAAATCATTTTCTGAGCGCGGTACAGCGGGATGCTTTTTCACAAATCGGTCTGCTTGCCTCGAGCCCGGCTCTGATACTACCTCGCTTGTGGGCTCAGAGGGGCATCAGAGGCGGACTCACTTTACCTGCCTTTCCGCCTTCGTGTTTTTTCTTAATTCTCAGAGGAGAACAGAACACACATCAGTCCCGGACTGAGCTGTCTTATGAATGAGGCTTACGTCATCCAGGATCAGCTTTGCGGCACAGCAAAGTGTCGTAAATCAGCTGTACCTACACAAGATTTAGTCTTATTGCTTCAACTGAGACTGAGATGCTTGACAAATGACTTTTAAGCCCAGTTTTTTAAATACAGCATTTTTTAGAGTAATTACTAAGAAGTTTACATACGGGCCCAGGTCAACAGTTGTTGTAGCTCAGCCTCTTCCCATCTCACCTGCTGAAGTTTTTAATGTCTTTACAGTGCTCACATGTGTCTTGGTGGTCTCCTTCACTATTCTTTGTTCCACGGTCAGTCAGTTGGTGAGGACGGCCTGATCCTGGTAGATTTACACACGTCCCATATTCTTCTATTTCTAGACTTTAACAGAACTCCAGGGGATGTTTTGGGTCTTAGAAATCCTTTTGTTTCCATCCAGGCATGTACTTTCCAATAATCTTTTCTCTGAGTTGAATTAAGACAGTCACTTAAAAGGAAATGAATA